CACAGCTGACGACACTCACGTGTATAAGAGGCCTCAAGAGATGAGGGAGGAGGGAGGAGCGAGGCGGGAGGAGGTTGGACGGAGGAGGGAGGAGCGAGGGGGTGGAGGAGGGAGGGGAGGAGGGAGGATGGAGGAGGGAGGGGGGAAGAATGAGGGGAGGAGGAGGAGGGGAGGAGGAGGAGTGAGGAGGAGGAGGAGGAGGATGAGGAGGAAGGAGGAGGAGGAGGAGAGTGAGGAGGAGGATAGGAGGCGGAGGAGGAGGAGGGAGAGGAGGAGGAGGACTGGGAGGAGAGGAGGAGGCTAGGAGGAGTAGAGGGAGGCGGAAGGAGGAGAGGAGGAGGAGGAGGAGGAGTAGGAGGAGAGGATGGGGAGGGAGGAGGAGAGGAGGAGGGGAAGGCTTCTAGGTAGAGGAGGAAGAGGAGGAGGAGGGAGGAGAGGGAGAGGGAGGAGGGAAGGAGGAAGGAGGAGGAGGGCTTCTAGGAGGGCTTCTTTGAGGGATGGGCTTTAAGGGAGGAGGAGGAAGGTCTTTTCGTGGAGTAGGGCTTCTTCTTTAGGAGGAGGAGGAGGGGAGGAGGAGGAGATTCTCGGGGAACGGGGAGTGGGAGGGGAAGAAGGGGGAGGAGGCAAGATTGGGGAGGAGCGAGGAGGTGGTGGTGGTGGAGGAGGAGGAGGAGGAGGAGGAGGAGGAGGTTTTGTTGTAACCCATGTCAGCCAGGGCGGGGCAGGCCTGGACCCGACCACTCCTGGACCCCCGACACCGAACGGAACCACGCAGAGCTGTAGGGATGCACGCAGGGGGGCTTACCCGAGTCTCAGACCCAGTGCCTCCGCCGCTGCATGAGGGCCAGCCGCGCCGCCCACTGCTCCTCGGGGAAGCTCGACTCCACCGAAAGCACTGCGGCAGGGCCGCCGGGCACCGCAGCCGCTCCGCCCGCCGCCGCCGCCGCCGAGGCCACGGGCGCAGCAGCATGCTTCGCCGCGGGCGCAGCGGCACGCTCCGCCGAGGACGCCTCCGAGCCGAGACGCTGCTTCCGCTGCCGCCTCGCGAGGCGCGGCGGGCGGGCGTCGGCCCGCTCGCCGCCAGCGCCGCGCCCGCCCCGTGCGGGGCCCCCTCCGTCGGCAACCGCTGGCGTCGACGCCGTCGCCGCGCCGCCCTGGCCGCCGCAGCGGCAGGCGCCGCCCTGGCCGCCGCAGCGGGGAGGCTCGGCAGCCGCCGCGGCGCGCCGTGCACCGCCGCGGCCAGCCAGGCGCGCTCCGGCGGCGCGAAGAGCGCTGCCGAGACGGCAGCGCGGGCCACGGCCTGCCGCCGTGCGCCCGGGCGCCCGGGCGGAGGCAACGCCGCGCATCGCGGCCCCCACCAAGGAGGCAGCCGCGCCCAGCTCTAGGCAGCGCCGCCATCCGGAGGGACAGCACCGCCGTGCTTGAGCCAAAGCGAGGAGGATGAGCAGGGAGGAGCATGATGAGGGGGAGGACGCGGAGGACGAGGATGAGGATGCCGAGGGGGAGGATGGAAGGAATGGGGATGATGATGCTTATAATGCTGATGATGCTGCTGATGATGATGATGATGATGATGGTGATGATTATGATGATGATGATGATGATGATGATGATGATGATGATGATGATGATGATGATGATGATGATGATGATGATGAATGATGATGATGATTGATTGATTATGATGATGATGATGAATGATGATGATGATGATGATGATGATGATGATGATGATGAGCATGTTTCGGGTCGGGCGAAAGGGGGATTGGGAAAGGGGGGGCTACGAAATTTGCTGCATGCAGCTGGTTTCGGCCTCACCGAGGGGCCCATTCCTCGACACATAGCCGCCTCCGGCGCCGGGAGGCGCCGGGACAATCAGCTACGTGAGCTGATTCTCAACCCCCCCCTTTGCTATCCCCCCCTTTCGCCCGACCCGAATGTTGGTGGTGATGCTGATGGTGGTGGTGGTGATGATTACGCTGATGCTGATCATGCTAATCATGCTGATGATTATCGGTGATGATTGATGATGATGCTACGCTGATGCTAATCATGCTGATGTATGATGCTGATGCTGATGCTGATCATGCTAATGATTACGGTGATGATGATGGTGATGGCAAATGCGGACGCTGAAGCTGATGCTGATGCTGCTGATGCTGATGCTGCTGATGCTGATGCTGCTGATGCTGATGCTGATGCGGATCATGACGATGATCATGGTGGCGATAGATGATGTTGTGGATGATGACGATGATCACGCTGCTGGTGAAAATGATGATGATGCTGCTGCTGATGCTGATGATGATGATGGTCATGATGACGCTGATTATGATCATGATGATGCTGATCAGGATGCTGATGATGGTGGTGATGATGATGCTGATGATGATGCTGCTGATGCTGATGCTGATACTTGTGGTGATGATGATGCTGCTGCTGCTAATGATGATGCTGATGCCGATGCTGATGCTGATGATGAATCTGATGATGACGATGATGACGACGATGATGATGCTGATGATGATGGTGATGATGATGATGACTGTGATGATGATAGTGATGATGATCATGGTTGGGGTGGTGGTGATTATGATGATGATGGTGGTGGTGGTGATGATGACGCTGATGATGATGATGCTGATCATGCTAATGATGACTGTGATGATGATGGTAATGGCAACTGCTGATGCTGATGCTGATGCTGATGCTGATTCTGATTCTGATGATGGTGGGTGCATATGATATTGATGATGATGGTGATGAGGTTTGTCACGATGATGATGATGATGATGATGATGATGATGATGATGATGATGATGATGATGATGATGATGATGATGATGATGATGATGATGATGGTGCTGCTTTTGATGATGATGATGCTGATGCTGATGCTGATGATGCTGATTCTGCTGAGGATGCGGATTATGATGCCGATGCTGATGATGACGATCATGATGATACGTACGATGCTGCTGATGCTGATGATGATTATTTTAGTGCCAGTGATGATGGTGGTGGTGATGATGATGATGATGCTGATGCTGATGCTGATGATGATGATGACGATGATGATGGTAGTGATGTTGATGATGACGATGCGGATGGCGGTGGTTGTGGTGTAAGGTTGATTATGCTGATGCTGATGATGATGCCGATGCTGACGATGCTGATGATTATGATGATGCTGATTGTTATGCTCATGCTGATGATGCTGATGACGATTCTGATGATGACGATGGCCTTTCTGATCGTGATGATGCTGATGAAGCTGAATTCGAAGACGATGCTGATAATGATGATGACGATGATGACGATGCTGATCACGATTCCACGATGCTGATGATGATGATTATGATGTTGATGACGATGATGATGCTTGTTGTTTGTTATGGTGATGATTATGATGACGATGATGATGCTGATGATGATGATGATGCTGATGATGATGCTGCTCATGACGATGATTATGATGATGATGACGATTCTGCTTATGACGATACATGGTGATGATGATGATGCTGGTGATGATGATGATGTGGATGATTCTGATGCTGCTGATGACGATGCCGAAGATGATGATAGTTATTACACTGCTGATGCCGATGACGATGATGCTGATGATGATGAAGATGACGATGATGATGATGGTGATGTTGATGATGCTGATGCTTTCGGTGGTGATGCTGATTATGCTGATGATGATGCTTATACTGATGATGATGACGATGACGATGACGATGACGATGATGATGATGATGATGATGATGATGATGATGAGGTTGATGCTGATGATGATGATGATGCTGATGATAAAGATGATTATGCTGCTGATGATGATGACGATGATGATGATCGTGATGATGATGATGATGATGATGATGATGATGATGATGATGATGATGATGATGATGATGATGATTTTGGTGATGATGATGACACAAATGCTGATGATTATGATGATGATGATGATGATGATGATGATGATGATGATGATGATGGTGATGGTGATTCTGATGATGATGCTGATGATGCTGCTGATGATGATGAGGAGGGGGACATTGTAAACCCAGACTCATCAACGGTGTTGCAGTGAACTCTCCCTTCAAGTTCCCTCTTCATAGGCTCCTGCAAGGATTTGTTTTCATTGCGGGAAAGGCTCCGTCGGAAGAGAACCATCTGGAAATTTTCCACCGTTTACAAGCACCATTCCTGGCCTCGAATCAACGATAGTGTTGCGACCTGGCGTTCCTAAATTGTGCCAGAGCACCACTCTGGGACGTCAATGCCGCGAATCAATGTGACTGTCGCGCCCTGGCAAACCTACATCGTGCCCAAATGCCGTTTCTTGGACGTACACCGTAATTTCTTCGAAGTGTCGTAAACCGTTAAGACGAATTGTCGCGGTGCTGAGGCGAGAGCCACTTTTTGCAAAGGAATCGCCCTCCATGTGTGAAACTTGGGCAAAATTTGCAGACGGATGTGCGCGGCGCCCAGGCGAGAGCCACACTTTGAAAGCCACCAACACTCCATCCGTGAAGCTCTGATAACCTTTTACGACTAGTTTGCGCGGCGCTAAGGCGAGAACCCCATTTTGAAAACCACCCGCCCTCCATCTGTGCAGCTCTGGCAAATTTCAAGCTTCAGGGTCGTAGATGGTGCGGACGTCTCAGGCCACGCACGGCCGCCCTGCCGACCCGTCTCGGGGTGCGACAGGAAGGTACACCTTAGGCGATGCTTAAGAAAACTTGAGTTTTCGGCCAGAGTCTCGATTATTCTTAATATTTCAATGTAAATCCTAAGATTATGATAGAAATTTTGGGTTTTTATTCGAGTTCTGAGACCATGAATTTCTTAACCCATGATTTCTTAACCATTTCGCGTGGTGTATTATATTTTCTGGAAAAAGGATGGAGGAGGGTGAGGAGCAGGATGATGAGGTCAGGCCGAGGATGGCACGGACGCTCTGGGGCTACGAGATGACTCCGGCCTTTCAGGGATCACATGGCCTCCGAGCTGTTCTGGGTGCCCGTCACAGGCGCGCCTGGGGGTTGCATCGCTGGGGGCAGAGCGGCCGGGAGGCACGGGTGGGGAGGGGGGCGGGGGGAGAGGGAAGGGAGCAGCGGGACGGGAGGGAGGCTGGAGGGATCCGGGGAACGGTGGATGGAGGGAGGAATAGAGTGGTGGCGCAGGGTGGAGGTATGGATGGTGATCGCCATAATGTGGGCGATGGGGGGGCTCATGGCAGTGAAGATGGCAATGGAGATGGTGTTGATGATGGTCTTGATGGTGATATCGATGATGTTGATGTTGCTGATGATGATGATGATGATGATGATGTTTAGTATGCTGACGGTGGTGGTGGCTGTGATGAGGATGATGCTGTCGGCGAGTACGAGTGGCGAGGGGGGGGATGGAGTGTCAGAGGGAAGGGTTGCGGTGGGAGGGCGGGATTGGCGAGGTCGAAGGCAGACCACGGTGATGATGATGACGACGACGCCCATGATGATGATGATGATGATGATGATGATGATGATGATGATGATGATGATGATGATGATGATGATCATGACGATGAGGATGAGGATGATGATGCTGATGCTGATGATGATAATGATGACGGTGATGGCGATGATGATGATGCTGATGGTACGATGATGATATGATGGTACGATGATGGCGATGAAGATACTGATGATAATGATGATGTGCGGGCCCCCATATATACACCACCACCAGGCGGCCATAGGAAAGGAACAAATCCTGCGCGCGACCGCCCTGACAGGGGTGGCACTGCCTGCCCCCGCCAAGTGCAAGTACTTGACATGTTGTCATGCGCGCAGATGGCGGCCGCATTCCGTCGCGAATACTTGCTTCCAAGCACCCTATGGCAGCACGGTGGTGGTGTAAAATAATGATGGACCTACCCAGAGAATTTTATACACCACCCCGAAATATACCACGTGCATGTGTTGTTCTTCGCGCATGCAACCGCATGCCCAAATGACGCTGCACACACGACATGTCATTACGGCGAGATTTGGCGCATCCTGCAACCCACCGCCGAAACAATCATCCGATCCACCCCCATGACAAAAAAACAACCCGCGGTGGTGATGTATATGCGTGGGTCCCGGACATCTGATGATGACGGTGATAGCCATGATGATGACGATGATGATGATGATGATGATGATGATGATGATGATGATGATGCGACTGCTGACAGCGATAATGACGGCGATGATGATAATGATGCCACCGCCGGCGATGATGACGATGATGGCGATGATGATGATGCTGAAGATGATGATGCTGATGAGGATGATGATGACGGTGATGGCGATGATGCTGATGATGATGATGACGGTGATGATTGTGATGATGATGGTGACGATGATGCCGTTGATGGCGATAATGATGATGGTGATGCTGATTACGGTGATGATGGCGATGCCGATTACGATATCGATGATGATGATGACCACGACGATGATGATGATGATGATGATGATGATGATGATGATGATGATTGCGATGATGATGATGCTGATGATTGCGATGATGATGATGCTGATGATGATGATGATTATTATTATGATGGTGATGATGACGACGACGATGACTATGATGATGATGATGATGACGAAGAAGAAGATGTTGACGATGACGATGACGATGACAATGATGACGACGGTTTCGATGATGGATGATGATGGTGCTGACGATGAGGATGATGATGACGACGATGATGGTGATGCTGATGACCGTGATGGCGATGATTATCATTATGATGATCATGGCGATGCTGACGAAGACGATGACGATGATGGTCATGATGATCACGATGACGATAACGATGACGATGTCGGTGATTGCGACGATGATGATAATGATGATAATGATGCTGATGATAGCGATGCTGACGAAGACGATGACGATCACGATGATGATGATGATGATGATGATGATGATGATGATGCTGATTATCATGACGACGATGCCGATGATCATGCTGGAGCTGCTGATAATGGCGATGTCGGTGACGGCGATGATGTCGACGACCACGATGATGCTGATGATGATGATGATGCTGATGAGAATGGTGATGATGCTGATGATGATGATGGTGATGATGATGATGGTGATGATGGTGATGATGATGACGATTATATGTCGGTGGTACCGATGATGTTGATGTTGCTAGTGATGATGGTGATGACCATGACGAATAATCTGATGATGACGACGACGGTGATGGCGATGACGGTGATGATGACGACGGCGGCAATGATGACGACGACCATGACGATGATGATGAAGATGATGGTTATGCTGATGATGCTGATGATGGCGATGACTATGATGCCAGTGATGCTGATGATGATCACGATGATGATGGTGATGACCATACATGATGCTGTAACTGATGATAATGATCTTGGTGATGATGATGACGGTGATGGCGATGATGATAGCGGTGATGCTGATGCTGATAGCGATTCGTCTTGACGATGATGATTGTGATGCTGACGCTG